GTCGCACTTCATAGCAAAGTCAATTGCTTGACTCAATGTTTGAAGATCAGGTAAGTTGAGCATCAATTTTTTTACCTCATATTATAATCCGTAGATAAATTGGCTAATAAGTGCTGCATCATCCTTCTTGATATCAGTTACAAGTTGTCAAAATTGAGAAGTGTACAACGTTACTGATCGATTGTCGTATCGTAAAATACAGATCTTATTAGTTGCAACACGAATTGCATCATGTTCTCTATACATGGATCAAAACTCCACCAGAAAAGCCTCTAGATTATCCAATATTACATCTCGTTGTTCAAGAAAAGATAAAAATCATTATACTGCTCCACCTAAAAGAAGCGTACAAATGAATCTAACTTGCGATCTTGGAGTTGAATAGCTTTGGAATTGAAGTTTAATCAGAAGTTGCACTTGATTGATAAATCTCCAAAACTTGGATCTGGTGCCATCAAATTTCTCGGGTAGGACAATTCTTGGTTCTCTAACACTGAAAGGACGTTCCACCATAGGAAAAAAGACATGATTTGGTGCAGATGGTGAAGCAACTCCAACCATTTCTATATCTTCACTTCCTACCAATCTTATTGCTCCTTGTGGTGGTAAATTGAATTGATGCATTGCAAGCATTAATTTCCTCAATTGCTCTTGCATTTGTGCCATTGCACTCTTCATTTCAATAAGTTTTGCCATGATAACACTTAGAAAAGAGAAGATATTTAATAACGCTGAAGACAAATAGAAGAGAGGACTTGAGAACAAAGAAAATACTTAGGACAATATTAGTTTAGAAGAGGGTAATTTGTAACTTCTAATATTCTTATATCTTATAAAAAAAAAAGGGGTAATCCACTCTTAATCAAGATTAGACAAAGCTCTGATATTATAGGTGTACTCTTGATAATTTGTCAAAGACAAGAACTCGATGAAAAAGCAATTCAGACAAGTGAGCCTTCACTCAAAGATCAGTAACAAAATATAAATAAGCAAGTATGTATATTCAAAAAGAAACTGGAATGCCTATTGCCAAAAGACAAAAAAACTAGAGATCCTTGAAACTAGACTAGAAGCAAGAAAGGAGTTGACAAGAGTGAAGCCTTCTTTACTCTTGTCTCTATATATACTATCTAACTAGGGGCTACGTGGCGACGTTCTATAGGACCTCCAATATGTGTTGACTTTGTAGGACACATGCCTTGACTTACAAGGCAAGTTTTTCTACATGTGGGCCACATAGTTAGCTTGATCTTCAAGCTAACAACATGTGTGGCACATGGCCAACTTATTGACCACGTTTATAATCAAAAAAGTCAATTAAAGACACCTATGAAGTCAAAGCACCATCTATGAAGCTTCTAAGAAGCTTTTATATCAAATACTATAGAATTAACTTATTTTTACCTACTTTTACTTGATTCCACGTATTTGTATATATAATTACTAGCTTACATGAGTATGTCCGTGACAAAAATTTACCTTCAAATCTTGAAAAGCCTTTTGTCCTTGAGGTCTCTATTTCATTTTATCTTTGAATGTCAACCATGTGAAAGGAATATCAACTTCGAACTAATTTTAATAAATATCTGATAGAAATTAATAAATCTAAGGAAATATTATATATTCTATATTATCTTTAAAATTTTCTACTTTGATATAACTTAACCTTTCTTTAAGTCCATTAACAAGGCTTCTTTGGAAATAATATATTCAAAAAATTCCACTTTTGATTGATAGAATATACATTTTTTCAATTTGGTATATAATCTTATATGTTATAACTTTTCCAAGACATATCTCATATATTTTTTATGTTCTTCAAGAATCTTGGAGTAGATTAAGATGTCATCAAGATAATAAACAATAAACTTGTCTAAGAATTTTTGAAAAACAACATTCATTGAATGCTAGAATATAGTTGAAATATTTGTCAATCCAAAAGGCATGACATTATATTCAAAATGTCTATACCTTCTCCAAAATATTGTCTTCCATTCATTTATTTTTTTTCATTTTTTTAAATGATTGTGCTTCTAGTCTGGATTATAAGTTGTTTCTTTAGACAATTCTCAGATTTGTGGCCTTGTTTACTATAATACAAGTATAGACTTTGTTCAAATTGATGTTTTTTTTTCTTTGCTATAAGAGATTTGAACTGTATTGCATCAATTTATATATCTTCAACTCTGGAGTGTAGAAGTAATATATTCATTAAAATAATAGAATACAAATTTTTAATATATTATCTTGTCAAAGTTCACAAGTGTTAATCTTGATGGTATTGAAATACTTGATTATCACACTTCACAACTTAGTTGATAGCTTCATTTAGTGTTTGAAGATCAAGTAATGATAGTAATTGGTCTTATACTTCATCCCTTAGTTTCCAATAGAATTGACTCATAAGAGCTTATTCATCTCAATTGATGTCATAAGCCAATTGTTTAAAATTAGATGCATAAATTCATGCAAAGCATGACCCTTGATGTAATAAGTAAATATTTACTATTGTCCATTGAACCTTGTCATGCTTGCCAAATGCCTCTACAAATGCTTTTAAAAAATCTTCATAGTTGGTCAAGATTGAAGATTCTTTTTTAAATAAAAGAACAAACCAAAATAAGGCTTGTTTTGTGAGCAGGGTTCCAACTAAACCAACTCATGATACTTTTTTTGGATAGCACTCAAGTAATAGAAAAGTTACCAATCAAATTTGGTTAATAAATCCTCAAAACTTAGAGCATGTACCATCAATTTTTTTTGAAACATTAATCCAAGATTCCTTATATTATTAAATAGGTGAATTTCTTTTTTGAAGTACATGTAGCACCACCTCCTTGGATGTAGAAACTTTAAAAAGTGGTTGTATCATATGCTAAATTGCTCCAAATCTTGCATCACCATGCAATCTTATAAAAAATCCCTCAACACCAATAGTTCTACAAGCTAAAGCATTCAATGTGTTTATAATGACATCTAATTTCAACTTGGAAGAGTCAACTATAGCAACATCCTCACCTCCAACCATCTTAAAAGAAAAAAAAAAAAAAAAAAAAAATAGAGTTTCTAAAAAATATTAATTTAAAAGAAGATACTTTATAACCTCTAAAGCACTTAGATGCCTTCAAGAAGAAAGATAATTCACTCTCTATCAAGAAGAATCAAGCTCTAGTATTGATAAGAAGAGAGTCTCAACAAATTATCACAAATACATTATATAGGAGATCAAAAAAAAAATTGAATGGAAGAGCTTCAATAAAGAAACTAATAAGAACCTAATTAAATCAAATGAGTATAAAAAAAATACTAAGAAAGATGAGCTAGAACTCTAAGAACTATATTGTCAAGACTGAGGATCTTTTCAGCCTCAATTCCAATATGTATTAAGTATTAGGAAGCTTTTTGAGAAGTTTTGATGTTGCTTGATGATGAAGCAACCTTATAAAGCTTTTTGGACAACTTCTTAATCTTTTTAGAAATTTTTTAAATCTATTAGAATATTCTAAAAATCTTCTAAAGTATTCTAAAATATTCTAAGAATCTTTTTAAAATCTTTTATTGGAATATCTTAAGAATATTGTATAATCTTTTAAAATCTCATAAAATATTTTAAAAATATTCTTATTATTTTTTTATAGAAATATTTTAATAATATAAATTTAAAGAATTTCTATAATGTTTTATGGATAACTAGGCCTTATAGAAATTCATAATTAGAGAATATAAATTTGCGATCGAATGGTGTTATTTTGTTGATCATGTTGTAAAAGAAAGATTTTATCTTCATAGTTATGTATTGGATTTATGATCTTTAATCACAATTTATTAGTTAAGGTTTTATTGCATCAGTAATCAATTTTGAAAACATATATTTTTTTAAATATTTTTTAAATTAGACACTATTTATAAAGATAATATGTAAGTTTTTTATTTTATATATTACTTTTATTAAGAATTAATATGATTTTAAGTTTATTGACTAGAATTTATAAATATTTGTTTAGAATATTTAGAAATGAAGATTTAGAAATGAAGAGTTTTAAATTTGATGAGATGTTAAGATTCAAAGTATAATCAGGTCTTATAGTTTAAGATTTGATAAGTATTAGGATTTAAGATTAAAGAGGATCTTTGATTTAAGATTTGATAAGTATTAGGATTTAAGATTAAATAAGATCTTTTGTTTATGATTTGATAAGATTTATGATCTAGGATTGGAATGAAAGCTATAATATTAATAAGTTTTGAAATTGGTGGCATCAAAAATGAAAAATTTATTGATATTGAAAGTTATGAAGACTTCACCAACAAAGAATTTGTAGTTTATTTTTAACAAGTATCAATCTTTATAACAATATCATTGGCAATATGGACTTCCTTAACTTTAATTAATTTCAATAAAATCTTTGGTAGACTTTACTAAAGATCTTTTAATGTCATGTATGTTTAATTTTTTTTATAATATATTTTCTAATCAAAATAATATATTTTATAATTTATTATGGAAAAATTTAAATATTTTAAAATGGCTATTTAAAACCATTTAAAGACATGTTTTTTGAATGAACTAATTTTTTCTAATAGATTTTGTATAGGATTCTTTCACCAAAAAGCATGTTTACTCTTTTTCTTTTATCTTGATCCAATCAACACTAAAATAGATAACACTGTTATTTTTAATGTTTACAAATGAAGTAAACCTATATAAAACCATCCTATGATATTACATGTTAAACTTCAATATTGAAACCTTTAAATAAATAAAAAATAAATTTAAAATCTCCAAATATTCACAAGTAACTATATGTATTTCTACTTCAAAAGCTCAAGAAATTTTGTATTGAGTGCAATTTATCATTTTCCATTAATGTATGAACCCTACTTTTTAAAAATAACAACAATCAAATGAAACAATACACACACACACATATATATATATATATATATATAACCTAGGGAATGCAATGTTTTGATACAATATCACTCCAGGGTGTCAAAATGCCACAGGTCCGGATGAACCTGTTCCTCTCAAGGAACAAGTCCATCTCTACAATATTTCATGGAAGCAGTCATAACATTCATGGTTTCTCCAAGATAATAAGACTGGAATAATCATTAAAAACCCTGATTCTTCCGCATCGATCCAACGAGTGAGTTTGCGTGAGTGTATGTGTGTGTGTGTGTATGTGTGCATGCTCAGAGTTGCAGCATGATCTGGAGCTCTGGATGCACAAAAGAAAGGGGAGGTGGAATATTCAGCAAGAAGTATAAGACACGGTGCCTAGTATCACAAATTGCCTTTGAAGCGTGGCTCCTAAGGCGGAGCCACGCATTTGCAGTTTGCATGGAAGTTAGCAGTGAATGATACCATCGCTTGCACAGGTGAGTCAAATTGGTGTCAGTGAATGGCTCAGCTACCACGCGTTGAAGAAGCTGTCCGTTGAGTTTACTTTGTTTTCTGATTAGCTTGGTGACGGTATGCTCTTACATATATATATATATATATTCCTTCTGAAATGGACATACCATAGAATTTTTGCATGCACACAGAATTCACCTCATGTTTATTTATTTACTTATTTGGCTGTTTTTTGTATGTGAAAAAACGAAGGTGTTTGACAAGGAAGGAAAATTGCTAGTGTAGGGTAGTTCAGGGTCAGACATGTATGCACGTCTTGAACTTGGACTTTCTCAACAGTTAATGCAAGCGAAGAAGCACTGTAAACGAGCCGAAGTACTATGACAAGAGCCTGCTTCACTAATTCGGAGTGCCTGTCCGACTCCTCTGAACGATCTTCTCTTATTCTAATTCCTGCGTTTGTCAACAACACATCATCTTGGCCACCAGAAGCACAGGAAGTTCTACTGAACTTGAGATTCATGCATCTAGTGTTAGTCCTAAGGAGGCCATCAATACCATGTTGCTTTGTTACGGCTTGACAGGTATTCAGTGACAATGTCACTGGTTCCAAGGTAACTGTTGAATACTCTAGTTGGTTTCATCAACGCTTGGTTGGAATGCTTCGCAGTATCTTTTGTGTATTTGTGGCGCCAGGGCAATGGTAACCGGGTTTCTGTTTTTCACTTTTGTTCAGAAAATAGTTATACGGCATACATGGAGAGCGTGAAAGCTGCGCATGTGAAAATTGTTTGTGTACTCCTCTGCACAGAAGGATATGTACTGCTCTCATGAGCTCATGAGAAACTAAAGGCTTCGTTGATTTTTAGGAGGATAATTGCCCCAAGAATTGTCAGACTGACATGGTAGCGAGGCAGGATTTGAATAACGATTGTGACATTGTAAGCGGCATCCATGAATGACGGCACTCGTGTCGTTCGTTTAGAAGATCGTTTCATTCTCAAGTTTGTTCGCTCTGAGGTCCATTGAACTGAAGTGCCTGAGACTTATGAAAAAATTCCGAGAGGTGCTCAAGCCCTGTGTGTCTCTTCAATACTAACATGAAAAAACATGAGTGTCACGGTCTCAATTCTCAACGGAGAAAACTGTACAGTCCTGTTCAACAGAATGTACAAAAAGTAATGCGACAAATGTCTGTTTGGCATTGCAGAATTCCTCTTGTTTTTCATCTGCGTGATAATATTTGTGATAGGGTATTTATTTTTATTTATTTATTTATTTTTAATTTAATGTTGGGCTACTGTAGCTGAATTAGCTGCCCTCTGTTTTGCATGGAATAGCCAAAATCATGTTCGTGCATGCAGGGGCATGCTGCCAAGACGATTTGTCCATCGGGACGTTAGCAGTGCGTTAAATAATCCGATACTCCGCACAGCTGCCGTATTCTATGTTCGAGGTGGATAAGAGTGATATTATTGACGAAACCATCATGGAAACGGGGCTTAAAACGTGCAATGATACGAAGGGTGGGGAACTGGCACATGAAAGGGCTAAACGGTTGTAAAATAGACGATTAAGATTTGCAATAGAGTTCTTACTCGACCACGATTGAGGTTCCTGGACGAGCCTACCTGTGGCCTTGACAGGTCGGTCTAAATTCCGAAGAAGGGTTACACTGACATCCTTTACTTTAAAGAGTTTACTGGTTTCAATCCCACATATGCTAGATGACGTGCGCAGAACACCTGTGTACTTACCAACGTTACCTGAGTAATGATCTGCGTCTACAACTGTACGATGTGCTGCCGCCTTTTCAGTCACGTCAAAACTCGAGAAATTTGGCTCGGCGTCTAAAGCTACGGAGCTGCGCACTCTATCTACATCTTTTATGGCCACTCGACATATGAGGTGAAAGTGCCTTCATGGCTGATAGAAGTGTGAGTCGAAGTGTGAGGTATCTGTTCATTGTTTCTACTTTCAGGATGCTCTTGCACTTTTGGACTTTTTTATCTTTTTATATATCGATCTAAGAAACAGACAGTGTACTTTAATGGCTCGTGTAGCTGCATGTTAACAATCGTACATATTGTTTCCATTATTTTGCAGCCATGACATTCCGCTGTCCTTTGCTGCGAAATTCCTGGGAACGTTTCCTTCGGCATGTCAATCCATAATTTGATGATCAAGAGCTTGACACTTCTCTGATCAAGGTATGCTTCTGTGTCAAGCTTGTATGCTTTTTTTTTTGGTTTGTATTTACTGGAGTCTGCCATGTCCAAGCCTGTCTCGAGTATGAATTTCACGAGAACTTCTTAGAAATGAAGAACCGACAAGAGTTACAGTTAGTCAGAGATCATTGAGTTAGACTGCAGACTAACCAGATTCTAGGGCGTGTTCACAGGATATGGAAAGAGGCGGGGGCCATGGCGAATCTATCAACCAATATGGTGGTGAAATTCTCAACGACGAGTATGAATATTCACATGATGCGTTCACTGCGGATTAGAAGATCCAATTCATATCGACTAGAGTAAGTCCTAATATACTATCAATAGTCCAAGCATCGCGACTGTGGCTGAGATCTTTCCAATTTCTCAGTTGGATGTAATAATCAGATTCATTAGAAGTTTTTCCCTGACACACAAATGGCGACAGAACGGGTTGCCTATAACGGTGTCTGATAAGGAAGGAAGTTCAAACAGGTTCTTCCGCTTCTGCCATATGTTCCTAACAATTTGTGTACGTTCAATTAGCATGGTAGTCAAGCAGGATTTTCCACCCAAATACATGCACTAACCCGCAGATCTTTTCGATAACATGCGTCGAGACTAGGGCTGTAACTGGCTGCAAATATATTGTCTACATCACGCTCAGGGTCAGCATCGAAAGTGTCCATCGCCATGTTGACACTTCATCGAACTCCATCGGAGCGCATTGTAAAACCACAAACGCATGGAATGTGTGTGCGCATATTAGAAGCACAAGAGGGGATTGATCTTCAACCAAAAGTAATACTGATGTGACAATGTCGTAGGGGGTCGTAAGGTGTGTTATAAATCTAAATATTGAGATTCAGTGGATCATAGTGTTTGATAAGTATTCGGGGAATGCTCTCATTTGAAATTTACTATGTCGACTTTGTCGGAATCTCATAGAAGCTTTGAGGAAGCGATTTTTCTCTAGTACGAACTAGCTGCAGTAATCCCCAGTTAGGACAACTTTGTTTTTTTACCTAACGCTATATACATATTTGAGTTTACTCTCCGCAGTAATCCCAATAATTCCACAGTAGGATAACTTTGTTTTTTTACCGAATTCTAACTGTTGCGTGGATTGGATATTAATGATCAATGATAAAATGGAGGACTGGATGTTACCAGATATCCAACATGTTGGGTATCACTAACTCCCCTCAACATGGGCTCCTGTTGTCAACTCCAGATGGCGTGTCATTGTGCTTCCCCACTCAATGCACTTGTGCAGTTGCAAGTTGCAATTGACGAGCTGACGCTAGTAATTTTTCTCTGTTTCACTTTTATTTATGTGCTGCTATACAATCTTTACTAGTGTACTGATTGCAAGCTTGTGTTTTTTATTTTTGTTTTGTTCAACTCCAGTTTGTTGTTCTTGCAGTGTGATTGGTGATGGCGATCCTCCTTTGCTTGTGCAGAGCGGCGTTTGGTTCTATTTTGTCGTCGTTGGTGTTAGTTTTGTTGGAGGAGGATTGTGAGAGTGACAATATAGGTTCCACAGCGGACATAGCAACTTCTCGTAGTATTTGATTGAAAGGAGCTTCAGGGTTAGAGTTTTGTTCAGAGGTGCCACCAGCCAAGTTTTAGGCGGTTCATCGTGGATACTCCACGGGAGTGTTTGCCATCGTGGCCAGAGTGTAGAACTCAAGTTCAAAGTTATAAGGGTGTAAAATATAAGAGCTTTAGAGTACAAGAAAAGGCAAAGGAATTTCTACAACATGAATGTTAAGTCTAATTTTGGAGTCACAATTTTTAAAATTTTGTGTAACTAAGATGGGACTCTCTTCAGTCCAAGAGATTCCCTATTGCTAATAAAATCCACTCGTTACAGAGCCTTTGTGAACGTATCTACTTGTTGTATGTGGATATGTAACTAACATCAATTGTGTCGTTCTGTTGTTTGTTTTAATGCAGTGGTGGTCCAACTCTATGTGTTTTGTTCTTTGATGCATGATTGGATTTCTAAAAAGTCTAATGTTGTTTGTATTGTTGCACAACAATGGTGTCGGGTCTTCTTCATCTATGTACAATTCTTTGAATAGTCTAAAAAAATATATAATATTGCTGGTAGCTTCAAAGAAAATGCAATAATTTGCATTTATAGAAGAGAGTGTTGTAGTCAATTGAAGCTTGGTAGACCAAGATATTGGTGAGGATTTGTATAGGATTCACAATATAGATTTTTGTGAATTGATATCTCCTACCTAATCGCAGTTGGCAAAGACAAGTAGACCCCCTTTGTCATTGATGGAATAGAAGATGCCATAATCTATTGTACTCTTAAGGTATCTTAAGATCTTTTTTTCAATGATAAGATGTGTTGTGATATGGTCATATATCATAATATTTTTCTAACTGCAAATTGAATGTTGGTGGTATATAACAATCACTTGACAAGGCTTTGATAGAATTTAGGGTCAACTTCAAGGTCTTAATTTCTTGTTGTAGTTGAGTCTTTTGATTAATAGATATAGAAGAGGCTTTACAATTGCTCCATTCAAACCACTGTACTGCCTATAGTGAAAATAGATTCTATCTTTAATTTAATTTAGCTTGATTTCTAAGTATAATTTAGCATTTGTAAGATTTAACATCTTAAATGTATCCATCATTTTGTCTTTAAGTTTTCAAGTATGATCTTTGTTGTGCCTTATAATAATAATATCATCTACATAAAATAAAATAATAGTTTATTATCCATTTTGTATTACAAAATACATGTTTGAATCTTTATTATTTTTTAAAAGTTTTTGGTTTTGAAAGTATATGTTAATTCTACTATACCAAGCTTAGAATGCTTGTCATAGGCCATATAAGGTTCTTTCTAATTTATACACTTTGTTATAGCATATTTACTCTTCAAAATCTATATGTAACAACATATAAATCTTTTTTTTAAAAAAAATATATTAAAAATACTATTTTAATATCAAAATATTATAGTTTTTATTATTTTCTAGCTACTAAAGCTATTATACTTTTGACTATGAATCATTGTACAATATAAGTAAATATTATAAAGAAGTCATACCTTCTTTTTGTTCATATTCTTAGGCAACTACATGGACTTTTAATTTCTTTGTATTTTTATTAAACATTAGTTTTGTTTTAAAGATCCATCTTGTGGATATTAGACTTTTTTTTTCTAGTAAGTCAATTTGTTTCCAAGATTTGTTCTTTTCAATCAATTTTATTTTTCCTTGATTGGTTCTTGCCATTCATTGTATTAAACTATCTCTTCATAGGTTCTAGCTTCCATAATGTGCTCTATTATGAACATATAAATATTTCTATATTTTATGTAAGGTTTTTTTTTTTTATTTCCAATCAAATATCTTCTTTGAACAATAGATTCTATGTGTGGTTGAAATATACAACTGGTTGTGTCCCTTGAAGTTGGAAGAAATGAGCTACTTGTAGTTACAAACAAAGGTGAATTGGAGCTATTGTTATGTCCATAGTTAGAATTTTCAAAAGGCACAATTTGATCAATTATTGATGCATGAATATCATCCATTAAGTTTTTAGATGAAGTCTTCGTCTCTAGAAATAATTTAGGTTCATTTGTAAGAGTTAAGTAGTTTCTTATGTAATCAAAGTCTATAAGTGTTTTATCAAATATAATATCTTGGCTGATGTACATATTGCAGAGTGATAGATCAAAGATTTTGCATGTTTTTGTTTCATTTTCATATCCTACAAATATATATTTGATGGATTTTTTCTTAAGTTTTGAATGCTCATCTTTTGGTATGTGTATATACACAATTGAATCAAAGATTCAAAGCTGACTTATTTGGGATTTTAATTTGTAATACAATTGGTCTAGGATTACTTCATAATTGATTCCAGTAGAACTTAGGTTTAGTACGTAAATCATTATGTGGATAGTCTTAGTCCAAAGATATGCAAGTAATTGATATACTATCCACATCAAGCTTGCTTTCTTTTCTATTATTTGTTCTTACATTTGCTAACTTTAATTTATTGCAAGATGCAAGCTATGGTGAATTGTCTTCTTATTCCATTCTCAATTATAAAATTATTGAATTCACAAATTAGGCACTATCATTTTTTTTTAATTCTAAGGTTTCTAATTTATTTATTTATTTATTTATTTATTTTTTTATTTGCAATCTAAAATTTTAAAACTTCTTAAATGTTTTGTCTTTGTTGTACATCAAATATAAAAATTCTTTCAAAAGTGATAATCTATGAATACAACAAAGCACTTTAATCTTCTCAAAGAAAGTGTTTTCATAAGTCCAATCAAATTAGAATAAATGAATTGAAGTACCTTATTAATGCAATAGAACAATGTCTTTGGAAATTGCTATCAATATTGTTGTTACTTCAAATATTCTATGCATAGTATAAGTGCATGTGTATCTTGTGCCACAACCTTATATTTTCTTTTATTGTAATTAGATTGGCTTTTGGATTTTTTGTTTTATCAAAGAATTGATAGATTTTTCTATTTTATTTTATTTTTATTTTTTATTAATTTCTACTACCTATTATTATTATTTTTCTATTATATTCATTATTTAGTATTAATTCTTTTTTTTGAGAATAAAATTGTTTTTCTATTATCTAACAACAATCCTATTGTTATCAAATTATAAATCAAGGCTCGCATATAGAAAAAGTTATATAAATTTATTACTATTAAATTTAAGATTATATTGGTGTATCCAATAGCTTCAATCTTGTGGAATTTATTATAATCCATTTTTACCAATCTATTGAAAATTTGTCTATATATCATTTAAAGATTCAAGCTTTTGTGTATGAAATGGTTGCTAGCTTAAGAATTAATATATTAGTTGCAATTTTGATAGTCAATAAAGTTTGCTTTGAGAATTTTTTTAAGATGTCTTTTATAAGTATTTCTTTTTATGTAGTTGATGTTTGTATATTGGTATTGATTTTATAGATAATTTTGTGCAATATATTTTACTCCCCTATACATGTAATAAGACAATGATGTCATGTTGTATCAATCTTGAAGGTAGAATAGAAAAAAATTGTGCTTATGCACTTGAGTAGTTTAAAAAGCCTATTGATTAATAATGATTGGTTGTAAAAGGTCTTCCTTCTCTAAAATATTATGACATAGCTCGTCTAGAGTTTCTTGCTTCTCAAGAATTTTATAGCATAAAATGGTTTTATTCATGACTTTTAAGATAAATATGTTGAAATTGAACTTTCAACCCTTCTTCATATAGTAGTTTTTGTTCTCTCACAGCCATTTGATAAATTTTAGTCAAAAGCTTATTTATAATATCTTAAAATGTGGATTGATCCATGTAGGTGATGCCTTAAATCACCATTTTTGTAATAGGGCATGGATAGGATATTTGTATTATTTTCTTATAGAAATATATAATTGGAGTTATTTTTGGAATTTTTTTAGAATTGAGGTTAGTATAGTAGTTCATGTAGGATCCACCCTAAAACCTTCTAAAAAGACTTAAGGTGGTTATCTTAGTAGGATCCACTATTAGAGACATTCTAGAAAATTCCAATGATAGTTGAACAAAGTATAATAGGACTGATTGAGGCTATTTGATTATTTGGTTAGCTATGGCTTCAAACTCTTTTTTTTCAATAAAATTTGGTTGTTTTTTTTTGTTCTATTTTCTTTGATTTTATTTGATTTTATTTTCTTTTATTCAATCTTGTCTTTTATGTTCCATTCTAATGTGTTTGGTCTTACATTGTATTCAAATCTTTGTTGTTATGAAATTAATAAGATTTTAGACCTTAGAAAATCCAATCTTGTTTCATTAGTATTAGAGTAAGTGTTAGTCTATTCTTTAATAGTGTATTGATAGCTACTATTTAGTTGGAAGTCAATTATTGTGATTACATCAAATACTATTTTGGAATTACAATAAGCTACTTTAAAAAGTTAAATAAAAGGAGAAAAGGCTTTATACTAAGAAATTTCAGCAAAAAAATTACAACATGGAAAATATGGTGGAGCAATTCTAAATGGAGACTCAAATAGAATACCTCTTAGGCTAAATAGCTACTCAGCAAGGGCAAATAGAAGCTTCTAAGACAAGAGAGTTGACATCTGCAAGGCTGAAATTAAGCAAGCCTAATATATATTTAGGGACCTCAAGGTAAGAAGATATGTGTCAATGGCTCTTTAGCATGCAATAGTACCTCCAATTATTTATGACAAATACAAACAAAGGAATTATATATGCCTCTAATTATTTGAGAGGTACAACAACCATTTGGTGGTGATATTGAGTTCAAAGCTATAGAGCTTAAGGCAAATTTTGTGACTAGGAAGAGTTTGAGATTGAGCTTAGGAGTCAATTTTGGCCCATCAATGCAAGGAAGTTAGCATGCAATTAGTTGACTAAGCTTACACAATCTAAATCAATGTAAGATTATATCTCTTTGTTTAAATTCCTATGTTTTCAAATTGACAACATTTTAGGGGCCAAAATGATGGATTGATTTGTACAAGAGTTAAAACGTATGGTCTAACAAGAGGTGAAATTAAGGGATCTATAAACATTTGAAGAAGCAATTAGAATTGTAAAGATGATCAATGATATAGATTTTAAAAATTGTAGAGTATGACCTATAGCATAAGGTCATATACCACTAGCCAATACTATAGTACAACAAGCAACGTCAATGAAGATTGATGTTCTATAAGGACTATTAACACCACAAAGATAAAAAAAATATTAGTACAATAGGAATTGTGCTTTTACTTTTGAGAACCAAACCATTAAATTAGAGATTGTTCAAAATGTCAAAGTTCAAGCATCAATAAATTATAGCAGGTTTATAAACTTAA